CCCCCCCCGACTCCCGAGGCGCCAACCATCGCCAAACTCGTTCAGAGGTCCGCTCTGCACACGGCCCTTGCCAAGAATGAGCCCTGGCGAATTATCACCAACATCGACATCGGATCATCTGCCGACAGGCAAGAAACGCCTTGATAAAAAGTTAAAGACAGGCTGCAATAAATTGTAAAAAGCATCAAGTTAAGCCATGTTTTCCCCTCTCCCCCTTTTTACTAGGGTTCCCTGATACATTGGGTTAATCTTGACATAATCGTACATCAAATTCTGATTGACTTCTCCATAAAAGATAGACGGAGAATTCCGAGGGTGGACTACCTAATTTATGTATGTTATGTCGGTAAAGGCGCCGGGCGCGATATAAAGATTCTAACTTCTAGGAAGCACTTGAACATTACATAGGCTGCCAGTGATGCTTCCTGCTTCGGAACTAATAATGCAGAACTATATGTCCTAGGTTGATAGATAGATCTGCAACGGTAAATAAGAAACGTTGTTGGTGATAAAATCTTAATGTCGATGGCACCAGTCAGGCGAGGTTAACCCAAACCCAAAGCTAGCGACCTGTAGGCAATCGCGATGATCGACCCTTGCCGACCTTTGATTGGCTTTTATTTCTCATACGCGTTTAGGTCCGCGTATATCGTAAAGCTCCGTGAACTCCACTTTATTGCGTTTCCGACTAAGAGGGAGATCGAGCCTCTTTCCTCGTTCAATTCTCTGTCTGGCAACAAACCACGCTCTTTAAACCTCGTTTAGCAGAAACACTAACCTTTACTCTTCGCACCCCTCGACCCTTGCCAAGCATGGGCTTTGACAAATCACCAACAGAGACATCGGATCATCTGACAATCCGCAAGAAACGACTACATAAGAAGTCAAAGACAGGTTGCAATGATTGCAGGAAGCGGCGGGTTAAGGCATGTTTCCCTAAACTCCTTTTACTGGGATTCCCTGATACGGTGAGACCAACCTTCTGATTTCTCCTCGTAGTGTGATGAGAAAATACCAGCTTGCACAGCTTGTGTTCGACGTGGCGATGTATGCGTTTATCCGTCCACGGGAAGCAGCCATTCCACGCCCGCTTCGGCTCAGCAGACCGATGAGGCAGCACTCGCTGCTTCGCTGTCGGTACCAAGGATCGTCGAGGGCCATGAACAATCAGCATCATCAGCGACAACCTTTACGCCTGATGATCTTGCCTTGCTACACTACTGGACCTATTCGGCAAGCTTGGATATTGTCAAGTCCCCTACCGGAGACCGTTATTGGCAAAAGACGTTTCCAAAGATTGGATTCCAACACGCCTTCGTCATGCACGGAATCCTAAGCCTGGCAGCCCTGCATCTCGCGTATAGACACCCTGCTGACAAACCGCGGCTTGTCTGCATCGCCGCATATCATCATAACATAGCACTACGGGGATTCCAGCAGGGCATAAATCAAATGAACGATGACAACAGCGACGCGTTATTTGTTTTCTCGTCATTGAATATCGTGTATGTATTGGCTTTCTTTGGGCCTCTCAGCGATAACTCTTCTGCGGACCGCAAGTCCCGCATCCTCGGAGATGGATGGATACCAGCGATACGGAGCGTCGATGCAGTACTGCATCCTGCATACGAGAGGGTCTGCCGAGGACCTTTGGATGACTTGACACGGATCGGCAATTGGAATAAGCTTGATCCGGACAAGCAATCAGTTGTTCATGACGACCATTTCCGCAGCGTACAGCTAGTCTGGGAGGGCAGTAAAGATGCACGTATCTACGACGAGGCACTCTACCTGCTCCGGAAATCCAATGCCTACATGAAGCAATTTGAGACTATGACCAGTGAGGCTAGAGCTGAATGGGGATATAACCAGGATTGGTCTGCACCATACATCTGGTTGCACGCGACTTCCAACGAGTATCTTGAGATGCTACAACAGCGACAGGCCCCTGCCCTACTCATTTTTGCTTACTTCGGTGCCTTGACCTATGCTTTGGACGGTTTCTGGTTTATGGAAGGTTGGGGGCGAAGCATAGTAGCTATTGCCGATGAACTACTAGGAGAATACTATGACCGATGGATGAAGTGGCCTAAAGACATTATAAGTATAAAAGATTGTATAATATAAATAAAATAAAAGATTATATCTTATATTTTATTACGTTTACTTAATATAATAATACCTATAATACACTAAATTAAGCATAAAAGGAGGTTTTGATTAAACTTTATATTTTTTAAGTTATTAATTAAAGCAAGCCCCTTTTATAAATAGCCTGCCTCAACTTGAGATAGGGGAGATAGTGCTCAGAGAATAACAGTCTGTCTTATATAGCCCGCGATTTTCCCGACACTTTGCTAAAGAGCCGGGCTGCAAGGAGGCCATAGCGGCAGAAATGACGTTAAGCAGCTCCTAGTATATCATTGTTCTATTCCCGAATAATTTTGCTCAGTGTTTAACCTATACATATAGCTTTTGCACCAGGCGCAGAAGATTTCTTAAGATCCCTAAACTCAGATCTGAGACAAGCCCAAAACCTGGTGCCTATTTAACCTTATCCTCGAAATACTGTTCTAACAGGCTATTATCTGACTTAGATTTATACAAGGGTATTCCAGAACTACTTATCTCTATATAGCACTTATAATAGTTAAAGTACTAGCTAATTCCTTTACTTAGGCTAAATCATAACAACTCACCTACATACTCTTTATATTTTAATAAAGCATATATCCTTATTAAGATCTACCAGTCTAACCCTTTCAGGCCACTAGGCATAATATATCATATTATATTATATTACACGGTTTCCGATATTACTTACACTGTACCATATAAGGATGACATACATGCCACACGATATCAAATATTATTATGTCTTATTTACACTCAGACTATTTACTTCACTGATTGCCTCTTGCCGTGTTTGGCGATTGAGATTTAGATAATCTATAGCAGTCCAGCCATGGTTTGTGACTCTCTGTTTAAATAAGATGGCCTTGGCAATAGCTTCTCAATATATTCTCAACTCATATATTCCAAATCAATCTGTCGACATATTGACCAACTTTTCACCTAGCTTAAGGCTCTTGGTTTTGCTGAAGAATAGCATGCAAGCACGATACAAGACTGTTGACCCCTGACCCCCCGCCATATATCCACCGGCTAGGGCAACACCGTTTCCCTTGCTTGACCACCGCTGCCACTTTTTTTTGGTTTTATTCTCCTTCCCCCTTTCCCTTGCCTAGAATCTGCCCCGCTACAGTACTCCTCGCGTTGGTAATTAAAGACATGTTCATTGTTCTCGACCGCAAATTCCGGTTCTGATTCACTTTGCTTGCCGTTATCTCGTATCTCTCTCTCCCACTCTGCAACGGCTGTCTCCGGGAATGAGTACCGACTGAAGGAGTGACAACGTCATACCACAGGGGTAGCGATTAAACATGAGAAAAAGTCGGTAAATTCATTCAACCTGAAATGTGCGGTATTTGCTCTTCTGCAACTTATTTCGCAACACCCACGTAGGCGAAGCAATGTTTAAAAGTCTCTGTCTCCATAGCGAACAGGCCTCCGTGGTCAAGAAGGGAAGCTGGGTGCCACAAGTTGGGCTCGAGGCGCTCAAGAAGCCCTGGGTAGCTGTTCAATCCGATCGGCTCGCTAACACCCCATGGGTTGCGGAGAACAAAGTATTGCTTGTCACCAAGGATAGTGTAGCCGAGGATAGAATAGGCATGGTTAGCAACGACGTTACTGCCTCTGTACATATTGCCAGTGGCGTAGGTCCAGGCAGTCATAGGGTTAATGGTCTTGAAGTTGACGCAATTGGAGCGGACCAACCCCAACATGTCGTTGGCTGAATGGTTATCGGTCCTGTAGTAGTGGGGTTCCCGGTCATTGATCTGTGCCATGGCCTTCACAGGGTCGCCGCAATGTGTCTGGGTGATGTCGGGCTGCTCCGATGAGCTACCGGTGATCCATTTGGTAAACGCCTTCTCATACAAGGATGGCCATATGTCAGCTCCGTCGCTGGAGCGACAGTACATGGGCTCGTTGTTGGAGTTGTTGATGGGGATTTGATAATTAACCTCCACCGTCTCAGTCTTGCCGTTATTGTTGCCGCCCTTGTCATGGAACTTGACGGCGAGGCGTTTCTTCTCATCCTTGTCGTGGTGGACTCGAGTAGCGCGGTTGATGATAACAGGGTCGGACCAGAAGACCGAAAACAAGGCGGCAATCAGCCAGCTGTTACTGGCACAACCCTGCGTGGGATCATCAAAGTAGCGCATGATTTGTCTTTTCTCTCCAATCTCAAACATGGTAAGATCGCCAATGAGACGCTTGTTGACGCTCTGGAAGAAATAGTCGTACATATCGCGCCACGAGCTATTGGGTGGTGTCCAGTGACCCTTTTGCATTCTGAATGGACTGACTAGCTCGTTGATGGACATTGTCACCTCACAGTTGGAAACCGTCTTTCCCAGGGAGTGAGCGTGGACCACCAGGTGCAGCTTGCCATTCTGCATGCGAGCCACTTCAACCTTCGTCTTACCCAGATCCTTCAGCCCGATCTTCTCAAGGTCGTCCAGCTGCTCAACCCCTGATAGATCAGGAGTCATGAGGTCTCGCTCCTTCAGGATTCTCATGTCTTTCTCAGACAACCTCTCTGCCTTCCTCTCCTTCTCATTGAGCTTTAGCCCAGTGAAAAGCACTGAGCCATGCTTCATATCGAACAGCTCGTGGTAATCCGTCTGCAGGACGTTGGATATGATTCTTGCTGAGTTTATCGAAAGCTTGTCAATATTCCGGCCGAGGAGGGCTTCCACGAGTGAGTACGGATTGGCAGCACCGACATTGACATCCTTGGGAGGCGAATCGGGACGCATGTTCTCCTCCCTGGAGAGTCTAGTCTCAAATTTCATATCAAGATCATCGTAGCCCGACTGGAGGCTGTCGGAGCCAACAGAAGCAGGCCTGTTAACCTTCTGGCCAATAAGGGCTTCGACTAAGGCATACCGGTCGATAGAAATGACATTGGAGCCCTGGGATGTAGAATCAGGGACAAGAAACTGGATGTCACCCATGTTGCTTGACGATAAAAAGAGTAATATAAGATGATTGGAGTCTTGAGGAAAATAGCAAGTAGCCAGGCGAAGAACACGTTACTGTGTGTCGTGAACAAGACTCCAACAAGTGCCATTGCAAAGGGTTTTATACCTTTCATCCACACACTACTTGCAATGCTACTTTGTTTTCGGCGGTTCTCGCGCTTCTGGGGATGATTCACGACTGCGTCAACATCAAACCTAAACCTGCACACTTTTACCACTGTCGTCAAGTTCCGTAACGCTCTCGTATCATCGACTGCAGATGCCCTTTGCAGCAAAACCTTATGTCGTGGCATACATTTCCGTCCAGACAGTAAACGTTGCCTATGCTAAAGTCAGGGCTTAAGTGTGTTACCTTGAGAACAATGTCATCATTACGACGTGTGTTTACACAAGATCAAGCCATTCTGTCAATGTTGACGCAGAGTTGTTGCTAGATGAAGGCTTCATAGTCTAAAAAGAATTCGTAGCATATCTGGCGGGTAGCAGCGGATATTTGCTCCCAACAAATTCGGATCTGCATTTGCGAAGCTTATTGCAGGGTATCATTAGAAAACTATAATTTCAGACAGAAGCTGAATTAAGTGGCGCAGTTTCAAAGTACGCATTGGTCCTGACCCAATTAGGCCCTGGAGCGACAGATGTCTGACGTGCTTTTACCCTTCAGAACCTAAGGGGACGTTAAGAAGTTGGTCATTCAAGAAATGATAAAGGGTACTTTGTATAAATTGGCTTCTTTGCGTAAAGCCCAGGCGAGATAGCTAAGGCAAAGTATGAGATCCCTCACTAGATTATTGGAATGTGGGTTGTGGTAGGGCCGTTATTATTGGAGGCAATGGAAATACCATGTGCCAATGATAGGGTTTTTTCTCTCGCGGCCCGAGCGAGCGCCATGGCGCTTTTGGCTTTGCATTGAGGCGTGACAAATACGTCCGTAAGGAGTGACGCAGAACAGCATCAGTGCTGTTACAAGGATTGTTTACTCCGCATTCAATGCCTTTCAGGGCACGATAAAAGTCGGCTAGTTGCATCAAGTGGATACTGAACTCCCCAGAAAACACATTCAAACCATGCAATGGCTAGATGGACAGATAGGGCTCGTTGGCCTGGAGCAACTTCTTCCTAATAGAGCCCTATCCTCCTTCATACAGATAGAATTTCCAGGGACGTCAAATGGCAATTTCACGGGCATAAGGGAGGACGCTGATCCCCAGAAAGCTCATCAAGGACTAAGCCATATTTAGCCATACCATCATGGTGTCGTAATGAGACATTCATTGAGAGCGACATGTTGACAAGTGGATTTGATCCCTGCTTTCTCGCTACTGCAGTAATTGTAGTTTACCATGTCCTGGAACTGAAGTCTATCCCTTCAATTGTGGAAAGCCTCTGGGAGGGTCACTATGGGGTGACTTCCCACCTAACGTATCTTGCAATGGAAGTCCTCACGGCCTCACAAGTTACGGATTAAAGACTTTACGTTACTTTATTCTCTCGCTAATTGCCACACCGATATAGTTACTCACGTATAATTGAAGTACGTGGGGCAATATCGAGCGCTATACCTAATAAAGGCTCGCCACAATGAGAGGGATAAGGCATCATTTGTTGGTTACATGATTCCTCCGTATACTTCCGTCGGTATCTCCTTCAAACCCTTACAAGGGTATCGTCCTTGGTTTTGTGTTTTACCCCTTGCCCTATGACTGTCCTGCGAGGCTCGTGCGGTTTGCAGCAAGCCAGCATGGGGTCAGTTTCTCCAATTGTTCAGTATCCTAGCTTCAACGGCAGAGGAAAACTCTAGCTGTCAGTGGCGCACGAGGGTCTGTTTTGTGAGTAGTCAGAGGCCATTGGATTAATGACTGGAACCATGATATCTGTCTCCTCGTCATCTTGCTTCAGCTCAAAAGCGTCCTGCTGCGGGCGAACGTCACCGTCGCTTTGAGCGCATTTATGTTAGTATCCAATTTTATATCCTCTGGAAGTTTCACAAAGCCGAGCCTTGCGGTTTGTGGCTACGTAAATACCTGGAGGGTGGAAACTGCTTAAATATTAGAGGTTTTATGGGAAAAGAACCTCTTCATCATGTAGTGGTGACGGACTACAACAGAGATTATAAGGTGAGTGCGTTAGTAGAAGCGGGAGCAGATGTAGCCATAAAAGATTTCATGGGGCGTCCACTCGTCGATCTTGCAAGAGACACGAATGAACACATATTCATATTTCTGTTAAAGACTTGGCAAAGATCGGTTGTGGCAGAGCAGTAGAATCAGGATAGGAAATAGAGTTAATTGTCCTCGTAAATCCCAAGAGGAGGAAATTAGAGAGAAAGAATACATAAGCTGGCCCAGCCGTCTTGGCACTGGTTTGCCAGTATCTATATGCTGGTAAAGGGAGCGCGCTTAAGTAGGTGCTCGAGCACTTGTTCAGTGCTAGCACGGCAGTCTTAGCATGAATAACGAATCGAGTCTGGTATCAAGGTGTTGTTTCCCAAGGCAAGATAGAACGAACAAGCCAAAAGACGGCCAGTTCGGGAAAGAAAAACTACATCCAGAGGAGAAACATAGTATCCAGGTCAAGCCGCAAAAACATATCATGGATAACTATCAAAGCTGATCTTCTCTGTGCTGGGCTTTTCCATCGTGCTTCTGGGGCGGGTGCTGATTCAGCTAAAGGCCTTTCCGCCCAGGCCCTTGATCCTGCTACTATCTAGGGCGCGGCAGGTGCGTCGATCATCATCTTAATCGAATCAACCTTGATCTTATAGAAGAGCTTTGAAAAAAGGTACTGGTCACCAGTATTGTTGAGAAGAGGTAAGGTGCGGTAGCCTTGCTTGAGGTTGCTAAGCTTAGCAGTGTAGGTGGCCACTGCCGGTCTGTTATTGTAGTTCTTGCTATCGTTAGAGAGCTTGATAGACCATCGGATAAAGACCAGACCGGGTTCATCGCCTTGTTGGCGGGGAGGCTGGCCGGTCATATAAGCCGTTGTGCCGAGATGACATCGATGGTTAATGAAACAACACTGCGCTCCTTCTTGCCCCCAGGAAGTTCGGGTTCGTATGGGAGCACTTGGATGACCCGTAGCACCGCAGGTTTAAGCACGTAGCCCGAGAAGTCCTGGCCACCGTCAAGCGTGGCGCAGTTAATCTGCATACCTAAGTCGAAGGTCTGCCGTTGAGCGCAACCATCTGGATTCCGCGGCGCCAGTACAGAAGCTTGATCGCTGCAAGAAGTTCCCTTTGTTACTCCTTCTTCCTCTGTTCCTCGCTTTATTCCTTAGCTTTAGTATACTTGCTGTAGCTGACTAGCTAGGGTGTTGGCAATAGCTTCAATTTTGAACAACCGCTAGCCACTGGCGTAATGGACTGCCTCAATAATTCATCCACTACACCCATTCCACTCTCCGATAGCTTCAAATGGATCCACTACACTGGCGGGTGCCGTAGTTTAAGGTCCATCCACTCTACTGGGACGGCCAGTGGAGTGGATAGATGGATTGATTTGCAACCCTGACAGGGGCGTAGACCAGCCACCGTACCACCTCCATACTGCCTCCGTCCGAAGAGACGTCGCTCAGCGGCACTCCGAGATGCCTGCACATCGGATATGAATTGTCGCGACCTCTTCTTCATATACAGGTGACCAACATGTCCTCAAAGGATTAGAATGACAGGTCGTCCGCTTAGCACTACGCAGCAGTTGCTGCTTTCTTGGCTTCCCCACCTGGTTCTTAGATATGCTGCGCGATAACCCTTTGCGCCCCCTTTAAGATATAACCGACGTTCTCCTACTCTTCCCTTCCTCGCTATCAAGCTTTTGGAGTGATCAATGGCCCCAACAGCTGTATTTTAGTAAACCAATAATATAAGGGCAGACAGCAATGGTCCTCTATGAGGACAGAAAGGGGGACCCTGACTTTAAACTCCCATACTTGGGAAAGATATAGTCACAATAGCCAGCACTGATGTTTCAGGGAACGAAATATTTCTAAGTTTTACCAATTTTAACATCGTTTAACTGCGACATTGAATCAACTGGCCCCTGCTGATTAGACTATCCTCAATATCGTCCTCAGCTGCAGTCTGGAATATAAATCCTTCGAATGGTTGTTTCCAATGCATCCAAAGAATCTAGGCGAAGGTAGACGCCGTAAATTGTCCAAGTAAACTCGCAGCTGACTCGATATCTGGTTCTTCTCGGATGTAGCTAAACGGCGAAACGGGATCTAGACGACATCAAGCCCCTCACCCAAAATATTTTCCATAATGAAGTACTTGGGGTGGCGTATCTATCATTATCAATCATTATAAGAGCAATAAAATAAAATGGCTGCTGGTTAAGCAAGACCATAATGATACTGATCATTGAGGGGGAAGGAATGAAATGATAATGATTGAAATGATTCGATAAACGGAGTATCCCGGGGGACCTCAGATACCCTATACTATACAGCATGAACTGCTTCTTCCGCCACTAGTCCCTTTAGTAGTCCGTCCTAATCATCCAACAAGCCTATCTTTAACTAGGATCTCACTATTTTGCGTTATTGCAATCGGTTTCCGGCTGCAGACGACGGCGTTTCGCCGATACTGTGTGAGCACCTTCTCGCATTTGCTTTGGAGGCACAGAGAGGATGTCTGTGACAATCAGCTTAAGGCGTTGGTATTCATACCTCTTATTGAACTGGTATAAGAACGACTCACAGACCTTCTCCAGGGGATTGGTGAGGCGTAGGCAGGGTAATATCTGCCACTTCAATCGAAACGACCCTAAATCGGTTATTTAGATATCGCAGCAACAGTGGAGTGACGAAATTGAGGCTTGGCAGAAACGAGTAGATAGCCGTAGTCCTGGTCTCGGAGTACTAATACCTTAGTAGGGTTTGTTTTTCCGGAATCCTAGGTACTTATATCTAGCAGGGATGTACCCGCCTATTCATTTCATTTTCGTCCTTCTAATGCAATGATCGTTATGTCAGGCAGGGCATCAGTAAATTGATTGCAGTGATTATTATCGATCATTTGCCATTAAGCCAATCAGTATTAATAAATGATGCGCTAGCCTAGATGTACTTGATACTTGGTCCCTCAGCATTCGCTTCAAGACTAGAGTGCGAACACCTCTGGTAAGGAAGCTGTGCCTGTTTCCCCGGAAAAAGCGCACATTCTCGCTGTCTATAAGGTTGACGTCTAGTCCGTACTTAATAAGCAGTAGTTGATAAAACGAACGATGCGCTGACCCCTATGCTCTTGAAGAACCTCTCCATTGGAAGGGGCATACTCATACCTATCTCACCCCATAATCAACGCCACGACGGAGAATGTAAAGAAGAACTGCAGTATGAAAATGAGGAATGGGATGTAATTAAAAGGTAATAAACGTTTCTATAATATAGAGTAATTACTCCTTGCTGCTGCTGTATCTCCTTCTACACGATTCCGTTGCCAGTGTGGTTGCTTAGAACACAATCTTTGGCATTTTTCTCGGGATAAATATGATCCTGCCCATAGGTTAGACTGGGAAGGCGTAAGGGGAGATGGTCGTACTCCTCATGCCAAAAGCGCAAGCTAGAGACGAGAGCTGAACGAGGCGCGGATCTCATCCTCTCGTCCCCCCAGGGCGCCTAGAGTCAGCCCTCACCACGGCCACTGAAGGCTCTGGACACGATTTCCTCGGAGGATCCTTTTTTAAGGTGCCCGGCCTGGTCTTTCTTATTATCCCGGTAATTCTTGAGGGCGGAGTGTATAGTCTGGAAGAGCTGAGACATCTGACGGGTCTGCTCATCTATCCGTTGACGATGTTGAGAATTCAGTTTCTGGAGCATCTCGATTTTGTTTTCTTTCTCAACCATGGAGCGCCGCAGTGCATCATTCTCCCTGTGCAGCTTGAGAATCTCTTGTTTGAGGGACGTAAGGATGCCACCTCCTGGCTGGGCCTGCTGACTGATATGGCCGAGTGGGTGCCTTTGAGAGGGCGGTTGGAATGGGGCGACTACTGTCCGGCGAGAAACATGGTCCTGAGGGGACTGAGGAGGTAAGGATGGTAGCTGCTTCTCGTACATGGCAAGGAAGAATGTTGTATAGGTAACTAAGTTCGTTTGAGTTTGGAAGGCCACACTTTATACGAAGACGTAATCAAGTGGCGGCTACGACGCTGATATCTACATTGTCAAGCACCAAAACTATCGGCACCATTGCTACAACTCCATTGACGACCCTTCATTTCTAACTCCTGCTGCTGAGCTGCCCCTTTTAACTTTGCTTTTGTCTGATGGTTGATAGCCCTCAGATAAAACACTAGCTGAACGCTAGTGCGGGCTAGCCGCATCAGGCCTCTCTAGTTTTTAGTTGCACGCGGCCCGGTAAGATTCGTTATCTGCGAACGATTCTGTCGCAGGTACTGATGGGCCATGAGAATGAAATGAGCGCTCAATTTTCTATCTAAAGTAGTGACGAGAGTCGGGCTTTTATACCTGTGTTCAGCCTGCCGATCTCATAGGCAGCAGGCTGTTGCCTGATGCTAGTTGTGGTGTAGCATTCACGCTGACCGTGAAGCTATTCACGATGGTTGTGATCCTTGCTCCTGACAGATTCCTCCTTGTGACGCCAGCCGCTTGTCTGCTGCTCCTCGTCCAGCCTTCAGCTCTCACCGCCCTCATCCAGCGGCCTTTTTTGCTTGCCACTGTATTATCAGCTGCTGCAGCAGCAGCAGTAGTATTAGTAATATTCACAATACATGGGCCTTCGACTGCAGGTATACTATCCAAGGTTCTGAATACAGGGGGAAACTGTGCGCGTAACCCTGGATGAAAAACCTGTACTCCAACGCCTTCCCGCTGCTCGCGATACCTTCAGATACCCAGCTTAGCCTCTCCACCAAGCGCCGATTGCCGTGGGTAGACCGTATGAGTCGCCATTTAGCTCTCTTTCCTTCTCCTCAATTTCGCATTTACCAACTAGCAGCACCGCCAGCCAGTACGTATGCTGCATGATCGACACGATCATGATGCTTGGGGTGTCAACTTTTACCGCAGTGACCCCATCACACTTGGTTCTGGTCAACCAATCATGCTTTGGGACTGACAGAGGCCCTTGGGTAGGGGCCAGTGTGATTTTACCTCGCGTGGGCCGACGACATGAGCTAAACTTTTGTGCTAATTTAAATACGTACGCCGAGTACACACTGTGGAGGGAACTTAGTCATGCCGTGAGGTTCTAGGTTTGTAATCTGCGCGCGATCATTAGTTTCGTATGTCCTCCTATCCTTCACCATGACCATGTAAAACGATAAACATGGTCCAAAATCAAGCCACTGGTGGTATCACGAAGGCAACGAGTAGAGAGAACAATCAGAAGGTGATGATTGGATTGACCACATGTCTGATGTAAGCTCTTGCTTCCTGTCACTAATCCAAGAGCGGACGTAGCGAATGAGGAGCTCGTGGTCCTCAATACATCCAGAACCCATTGGGGCGCGCTACCTCATGTTTAGTTTTTGTAGGGCCCACACGACATCTGTCATGCACCTGGTCTCATTGGTCCGGAATCGTTACTCTGTCCCTCTGACGATGGTTGGGCAACACCTTCGTTGCAAAATCAACCCATTGTAGTATCAGAGCCTCGCTGTCTCTTGGTCTTGATCAAAGCAGAAGGCGTTCTAAGTCGGTTCAAGCTGCTGCCGGCTTGCGATATTGGCGGTTGCCAGTTATAAAAGGTTATCAATGAACTTGGTTAAGACTCTTATTAGGATGATCAGACCTGCTGTATTTGTGGATATAATGCTATGGCCGGGGCTGCTGCTTAGGTAGGCCGCGATATATCCCTTTGGCGTTTTGGATGAGCATATTGGGGAGACGGAATCTGGGGGTAATAAGCCTGCGACCCAGCCATTTGTGGGCGCACGCCTCCGCTACCGATGCAGACGAAGATCAGAGGAATCATAGCAGGCAGGATACCGCCTTATAGAGATATAGACGGCATGCCTATCTAAACCCTCCTCTGCTCGAAGCGCAGACTCTCCTGCTTAATCCTCTCCTCTTCTAGTCTTCTCTTATCCTCCTTGACCTTGGCTTACAGCCAATTCCTTATATATTGCTAAGGCGTGCTAGAGAGCTGTGGCCAGGAATCTCTCTGCTGATGACTCTGAGTTAATGG